AATGGTAAAATCCAAAGTATTCATTAGATCAAGGGTCTCAAAATCAAATCATCAGGGGGGCCGCAGGAGGTAGTGTCTGTGGGAGACTGGGCCGCGTCAAGTATTCCACAAAAAAGCGATTACAACTGTTACAATCTGCTCAAACTTTATAAATAACAATAAAAACATTAATTGTTCTCAAGAACTAGGGTTCACTTTCTTCCACCTACTCACTGTTGCCAGAGACCTGGCAGCGCTTCTTTTTACACAGCTGAGCAACTTTGGCTTGAGTGAAGAAGCAACTAAGACTCTCAGTATAGATTGAAGATCCTCATCAGTAAGTTTGGCACTGAACTTTGACTTGTTAAAGTGCATAGTGGAAAAAAGCTATTCACACAGATAAGTAGTGGCGTAGCCTAGGCTTGGTGTCAAACGGTGCGGTAAACTCATGGTGTCACCCCCCCTCCCCAACTTCCATGATGGATTTCTTCTGGCTAAAATTAGTCAACAGTATGACAATGACATAAAAAAAACAAAAAACATAAATCGATGGTCATGAGGTCAATGTATTTAAAAACTGTAACATTTTTAAGTTATAGTTATTTTTACATTAAATTTACTTTATTTAAAATTTTCCGTTCCTTGTCTTTAAAGCTTCAAACCTGTCAATGGCTTGATGAAAATCAATGTCCTTCACTGTATCACTTTCAATTGAGAGCAGAGCCACAGAAAGCCTAGACTGTGCCATGGTGGATCATAAATATTTTTTGATAAGCCTTAGTTTTGAAAAGCTCCGCTCACATCAAGACACAAATTTTGTAAGAAAAAATTAAAGGCTTTGCGTTAGCATTGGAGGAGATTCTAGCCAGTAACAAATTTGGATGTTGTTTCTGTAACATTAACAGCAAACAATCTGCAGCAAAAACAATACAATTTCTGACTGAAAAATGCATAAACCATCCACGACCGCAGTATTTTCTTGCCATTTTGCATCATCCCGTAGACCCATTGTTTTGTTAGTTGGCGAACACCTCCTTTAGATTTCGCATTTTGCCTTGTCACTACGCTGAATAGTCCGTCTTTGTTCTGAAACGAGGTACTCCATATTTTAATAATTTCAGACGGAAAATAATCTGGAACTGGTACATTCCAGTCATTGTCGTTAATCTTTACACTTACATTATCTTGGTTTGAATCAACACAATAAGCAGACATTTCTTTTCCAAATCATCCATGTCTTTTACTTATGTTTTCACATCAATCACTTCCATTTTCTCCACTATTAGCTTAAAAGAATCCATGCTGCTGGTAATGGAAGAATCAGTATCAATGGTACGCTGGGGAAAGTCTTTTGATGAACCCTGACCCTGGTCATCATTTGGTTTCTTCATATCGAAGCATGTTTGCTGGTAGTGATTTTAGTTAGTTGCTTATTTTCTTTCTTTTTTTTTTTTTTTTCTTTTTTATTGGAAGAGCTTGGGGAAAGTCTTTTGATGAACCCTGACCCTGGTCATCATTTGGTTTCTTCATATCGAAGCATGTTTGCTGGTAGTGATTTTAGTTAGTTGCTTATTTTCTTTCTTTTTTTTTTTTTTTGCTTTTCACTGCTTACAGCTACTTGGCCGTTAAGAGATGTGCCCGCCGTGTTGCATGATATTATTATCTTTAACAATAAAAATGCTTTAATGTTGTCATGTTTAAGACAACAAACAAAATAATTACCGACGACAGTTCAAAAAAAGTTAGAGCACTGCCCAAAATACAACATAGAAAGTAAGAAGGTAAAACCCAGTAGTCGAAACATGACAATCGTGCTTAAATGATAAGTGGCGATTCTAGTGACGAATGGGGTGAAATATTAATTGTTGAGTATTTCTGGGTTTCGATATATAATATTATATATGTCTTTAAAAAAAACTTTTCTTTTTTTAAATTTAAATAGATGAGAAAGAATTAATCATTAAAAGATTGAAAATTGTGTAAAATAATATATTTTTCAACCCTATAAATGGGTAAAAAAATCATTTTTAATGTTTTTTAATTTTTACCGATTCTTATACTTAGAATCGCCCGACCTCAGCGTATTTACTATAAATGGAAAGCCCTATATCTCAGAATTTAGATAATATAGCCTTCTGTCACTTACAGAAGTTACCGAACACTTCAATCGGCGTGGAATAATGACTGTGTTTTTCTGACCCAAAGATAGGGTCATCTCAATTCTGACGCATCAACCTTGAACTGTAAATAAAGCACGCATTTGGATTGGTTACATTTTGAAAAATGGTGTGATTGGATATCCTGTTATGAATCTCGGTTAGACCGAGCAGCGTGTGCTCAGGAAGTATGCATTTTTTCAATCGGGTGTCACCCTTAAAATGGTGTCACCTGGTGCGGTCCGCACCCCCCCTCGCTACACCACTGCAGATAGGTACTCCCAAAAAGTCGTATGATCCGCTTGAACAAACTAAAAATTTCAGGGAAGGTGGAGGGCAATGCAATAAAATGTCCATGCTTGTCTGTTTTTCCATTCAGCTCCTCGCATAGGACATGTTGCACATTAATGAGAAAGGGTCAGCAAAAAGCTGAAAAGCGGCTGTCTGTGTTTTGAAGTAAAAAAAATGTAGAGACCCAGACTGGGTAAAAAGGCATAAGAAGAAGATTTAGAAAGTGTCAAAGCTGACAGGCTCAAAATTTACCTCACTCGTAAACACTAGCGGCAATTTTAATATGGATCCTTTGATAATGTCTCACATTGCTACGATTTACACAATTAGGATTGTTCATTACCCACCAACTTAGTTTTAAAAACTTTTCTCAAACCTGCACTCTTTGTCATGTTTGTCTCATAAAAAGCTATAAAATAAAAACTTTTATTCCGATTTTAAAACGGTTCTTACTATTATAATCATCATACAAAAATATATAGAAACATTAAAAAAAAAATCAGAATTAGACTAGTCAGTGAGATTCGACTGAAACCGTTGCGGAGAGTCATGTTATAGATATGAGAATGGGGAAAACGCGCCGGCGCATTAACACTAAACTTTTCTGTCTTGTAGCGGGTTGCAAAATATCTTCTTGCGGGTCACAAATGGCTCGCGGGCTGCGAGTTTGAGACCCCTATATTAGATGTTTATTTATTAATATTCACGATTATCTAATTTTTTATAAAAAGAATGTAAATATTTATACTTTCCCCCATCATAACGATGTATGCAGAATGTATGCAGGAGCGAATTTCAAAATATCTAAATATTTTGGCTTCGGTTTTGGCTCAAAGTCATTTTTAAACTTGAGCCCCTTTTTGATTTCGGCCGAAAGTCATTTTAAACGTTCAGCCTATTTTCGGCTTCGGCCGAAATCAGAAAATCCCTTCCGGTCGGTCTCTAGTTTTGACTCTATCGGAACCAGGGTTTTGACCCTATCTGAACCATGGTTTTGACCCTATCTGAACCAGGGTTTTGACCCTATCAGAACCAGGGTTTTGACCCTATCTGAACCAGGGTTTTGACCCTATCTGAACCAGGGTTTTGACCCTATCTGAACCAGGGTTTTGACCCTATCTGAACCAGGGTTTTGAACCTGAAAACAAGGAAAATGAACAAAAACAATTTAAAAAATGGTCAAAAATAATGATAAAATAAAGAAATAATGAAAACCCAACTTACAGTTTCATAGAATACACTTTTACACACTTTATTTCAGGCTCTGCCGAAAAAAAATATCCAGAAAATGAATAAGACATCATGAGGTCATGCATTAATGCATTTCAAAGATGGCGGAACACATAAAAATATTATAATTAGCCAACCAATGACATTTTAAATTATAAATAATCAACCAATAAAAATTTAATTAAAACGTGCCATCGTCATATTAATGAAAATGTAACTCTATTAACAAAAAAATGAGGGGAGTTAATCCAAAACAGCATCTTAACAAAACACACAAATGACATCAGGGTGCCATCTCTTCACATTATCCAAAACGTTTTATCTATTAACCTTTACCTTAAGTTTTAAAACTCTTACTGCTTTTTGAAATGTTCAGAGATGAATGAGAAAGAGATACTGAATAGGTTCAGGAATGTCACAAATGATTTCTTTTCTATGTATGTTTTGTCTTGGCTCCAGTGAATGATCATATTACATTTCAACAGAGGTGTATGGTACCAGCAGGCCTCTTACCCACAGTCCTGGCAGCTTGACCCCACTGAGGGACCAGGAAGAGTACGTAAACGATTGCAGAGATGTCACCTTGGAATAAATAAAAAGTTCCTGAAGCCAGAACATCAGTGGAAACTAGGTCATAATCTTTTTTAAATTTTCCTTACCCATCATTTTTTAAGTCAGCACATTTGCCCTTGTATTAAGAATAAAACTGGGTAGACCGCTTTCAAGCTCTGAGAAGTGAAATATTAGAAACAAGATATGGCGAAAGCTTGAAATATAGAACAAAACAATACACCAAATGTTTTGGCTCAAAGCGTTTTGTTACAAACAGAACAGGAGAGTATGGACATTGAAAGTGGAAATAGCCAAGATGATAACATAAATTGTTGGGAAATAAGTCATCAAACGAATTAGTCCAATAGGTTGATGCCTTATGGTGAGGTGATAATGTACTAAGGCAGTTGCCTTAGTAAGTCTCTCCCTACATCTCCAGATCTTATGTTAACCTATTCATTTGTGTTTCTACAGAGGCTGAAAGCAAAGACCCACCATTGTTGTTTTTGTTTGAAGATGACCACCAGATGTCAGACTCAGCAGCTCTTATCTATAGATTATATACCAATGAAAAAATACAGTAAGATTTTTATTTTCTACATTTTTAAATTTTAAAAAAAGTTAAAATTTCTTTAATTCATGGTCAGGATGAGCTGAAAATTATTTAATGTAACAGCCTTGCTTAATTAAAAAATTATTTTATTAAAATTTTCAAAATCTAAATTTTGTGATGTAAATGACAAAATTTCATTGTTTATGAACGCTGATTTCTTTCCTTATCCAACAGGCACACATGCAGATGTACAGCTGTTTCTCCTGCAAGTGAAAGCAAAGGAGAACTTCTTGTGGGTCAGTCAATAATTTTCATTAATATTTTTTATCTTATATTTCTTCACTGATCATCTTTCCTTTTTACAAAAGGCCTTACCACATGTTAATTTATATTTAAAATTTTGTTTAGGTGAGATGTGCATTTTCTTTGTGGCTGATGGAGCCATAACTGGTGCTAACTACACTCAGTTGTTGCTAGGAAACCTTGACCAGCTGTCAATCACCTGGCCACACACGGATATTCGAGAACTTCACAAGCGCTGGTACCAGCTCCAAGATGTCGGCCTGGAGATTTTCCTTATCAGTGGCCGCACTTGTCTGTTGGCCTTCCAGTCTATGCGGGTGAGTAGAATGGGTATTTGTGCCTTAAATTTTAAAAAGTGTCAAAACTTCTCCATTTACTGCTCTCATTGAAATGTTATTGAGCCATCGCTGATTGGTAATAAGGCCTCTCGGCCATATGAAATGTTTGTTATGTGCAAGTACACACCAGTCCTACAGTCAGTTGTCAGATTGTTATCTTAATGGTTATCCTAATGTGTAGTTACATTTACAAGCATCACTCTCTGACAGGAGAGAGATGAACTGTACACCATCCTACGTAACACACTAGAGCTGCCAAACCTTGTTGCCGCCGAGACCCTCCAAACCATTCAGCAAAGTTGGCTGGCAGGGGAAGTAACCAACTACGACTACCTCATGCACCTTAACAAGTTGTCTGGAAGGAGCTACACTGATTTAATGCAGTACCCAGTGTTCCCCTTCATCCTAAGGGACTATCAGAGCAATCAGTTGAACTTGGAGAGCTCACACGTGTACAGGTGTGTATGGTTGCAAATGGCAGCATTCTCTTCTGGTGTTTTCCCAAAGCTGTTTAAGCTGCTGTTAACAAATGGGTCAATTAAATGAAAATTTAGAAGTGCACCAGAGTTCAGGTGAAAATACGTCCAATAAACATTGTAATTACTTGTAATCAATTAAATTTTGCTGATTACAGCAGACAGCACTAAATTAACTGAAGCGGATAATGGTCATTTACAACCAATCCTCATCGCTTGAGGTAAAGATTGCTAATTTTAGCAGCCTTATGACAATTTGGTGTTAAACATGTCAGTGTTATTTTCTATTGAAAAGTATTTATATACCTGTTGACATCCTTTCTACTTAATTTTATGTTTTCCATATCAGATCTCTCTCTAAAAATAATCCTCTTCAACAATACTTTTTCAGAAATCTGAAAAAACCAATAGCTATTCAGGATAAGTCAAAAGAACAGCGCTACAAAGATAATTTTGAGGTAAAAATATCTTTATCCTAGTTTCAAATTAGTTATACCCTAACAGGTGGAGGTAAAATAAAAATACAATTATTTAATACAGTTCTTGGGAACATTTTAAATTTCATAAACCAGATCCCCAAATCTATTCCAACATGACAGAAAGGTTTTAGTTCTCAATTGAACTTAGTTCCATATACCAATATTAACATTTTTTGATGATAAAAATCTGTGCTATGGCCTCCTGTTATAAACTGAAAGTGAAATATGTTTCTTCAAACATCTGTAACTCCCACTTTGTTATTAATAGTTCCTTTGCCAAGAGGCCAGTAGACCAGACTCAGAGAATGAGATGATGAGAGTTGCTCCTTTTCACTATGGAAGTCACTACTCCAACAGTGGCACTGTCCTTCATTACATGGTTCGAATGCCACCTTTCACTAGAATGTTCCTCACCTACCAAGGTACAAAACCTGATAGTAATTATGTAACATTGTTATGTTTCAAGTTCATTTTAAAATATGGATATTTTTATCTTATTAAAGAAATGTTTTTAATGCAAAAAAGAAGAAAAAAAATTACTTTTCATCTAATTTAAAACCATGTTTCTGTTTTCCATGGGATGATTTTTTTGTGAATTAATTAAATGATTTTTATCTTTGTAGATAGCAGCTTTGACATTCCAGACAGGACATTCCACAGTATGGGAACATCATGGAGATTATCCAGTTTTGAGTCAAGTACTGATGTCAAGGAACTCATACCAGAGTTTTTCTTTTTCCCTGAATTTCTCATCAACAGTGAAGGTGATATTAGTTTAAAAAGTAGTTTTAAAAAGAAATTTGTTCATGGTGGAAGACATGTATATTAGAAGTTCTTTGCTTTGCATGGTCATTGATAATAATTGTGGGGGTAAAAAGTTGACATTATAAATACTTAGGAGGGGGGGTCATCGAAAGTGTGACAGTTGTTGACAAAAAGGGGGGGGGGATAAAAATGGCTTAACAATTGTCGACGTAATTAATGAAATGAATGCATTTTTTTTTTAAATGTTAAAAGTAAAGGTTTTTTGTTATTGTTTAAAAATAATTTCAAGAAAACTTCCAAGCTGTTCTTAAGGCATTTAACATATTAAATATCTTCATGAACTTTGAAGAAAAAGGTCTTAAATGAAACATTACTTAAATGGTGGCAAATGAGATATACATAAATTAGGTGGATTTGTTGTAGTTGTTTAACACAGAGCTGTTTTAATTGGTTTTATAAACAACTAGTTTGTCTTCTTGTAGGATTTGACTTTGGTCAGCGACAGAATGGAGAGTCTGTAAATGATGTTAACCTTCCCCCATGGTGCCAAGGTGACCCACGGCTATTTGTCTTCATTCATAGACAAGCCTTAGAGTCTGCACATGTGACCTCTCACCTTAACCATTGGCTGGACCTGGTGTTTGGATACAAGCAGCAAGGAGAGGAGGCTGTCAAGGCCATTAATGTCTTCCATCCATCTGTAAGATTTCCATCTGATTATTTTGGGAAATTTAAATGATTTGAAGACACTTATCCATTCATCCATGTGATGCCTTAGGCCTGCCTCACCACTTCTTCCCACTCAGATCTAAAAGCTTTAACCGAGGCATCTTCAAGTTCCCTGAATGCTTTAATTATATCATTGCTGTTTCTGCCTAGTAGCGCTGTGAGATCCGCGTATGCCAGGTACTACAATGGCTGGCTATATAAAGTTCCTGATGATTGTTGCTCTGTAATACCTCACTGGTTGTAGTTTTATAATGTTTCCACTGTTGCTCATTTTGTATGTTTCTAATTTAGAGTCTGATGCCATTGTCATTGGAATATTCATGTAGAGTCTCCTTGCATAAATACTTTTTCTTTCCCTATTTTGACATAAGTCGCCAATCACTTTTTAATTTCATGTCGTGGTGGAACATCCTAGATCTTCTCCAGTGTCACATAAGAGGATTCTTTTATCTGACCTTCTGTATCTGCTATGGGAGCATGACCATTTATAACCTCATCCACTTTTAAAAAGTCCCTTAACACCCATCTGTTTAGCTCCGCCTATGACCTGTGATGCACCCTCCTTGCCCTGCCTCATTTTCTGTCTCGGGTTGATCCTGTAGTATAGGCCAAAACGTGCCAAAGTGTCCTCGTTTTATAGCCATTTTAATTGTTTCTATAGAATAGTAGTTACTATCCTAGTGTCTCATTTTTATTTTACTTAGTTTACATGTTTTTAATAATTGTAAAGCGCTTAGAGCTTTAAGGTAAGCGCTATATAAAAATGCCTAAATAAATAAATATTAATTATTTTTCCTTGCACACATAAAGAGCACAATCTTTCAATCTCTGGTTTAAAACCTATAACTACACCAGTGGCTTCTTTCTTCACAGCAAATCCTGTTCCAAGAGTGTTAGTGTTGTTGCCAAAATAAAATATGATGTAGTTTTTTTGTCTTGAGGATGTCTGCATTTTTCCATTGAATTACTTGAAATACAGCAATAGAGATTTTATATTTAATTAGTTGTTCTATTAGATTAGGTAAAGCTCCTGCTCTAAACAGGCTTAGTACGTTTCAAGTCGCAGTCCAAAAATCATGTCCATATCCAGCCATGGGTCGATTTCCATTAGAATCAGTCTGGGTTTTATTTTGTTGTATGGCTTTCGGAACTTTTTCCTCTTTTTACATAGCCGGGTTTTTAGCCCTGCGCACAACCATCTGAGGGGCTGTCCCTTACAGCTCTCTAGGTAGTTGCCTTATCTTTTCGGTAAGGTTTTCTAGCTTTGGGGACCCCTCCACTTACTAAATGGCAGTTAGTACTGATTTTGGTCCACCCCGGGTATTTTATATCCCCAGTAGCCGCCATATCTGGTGGGCTTTCCCCTATCTGACACCTGGGCAGGGGCTTGATGGAAAATCAGTATCAACGATCAAGTGAAGAAATTTATACTGACGAGAATAAGCTAAAGATGAAGTTTCTTTTACAAATTTTATACTTAGTAATAAATTAGCACCCTTGATTTTGAAATTATTAAAACTTTCTGTGGGCTTTTCTAAATTTCATAAAAAGTCAACCCATCTAGTTTATTAACAATAAAACAATATGGTAAAACTATTGAAAATATTAGTATATGATTTATTGTATTGTAAGAACTTTGAATCATCCATTTATTATTGAAACATGTACCTTCTTTAAAAAGAATAATTAAACATCTTGTAACAGCTTTGTCTAAAAATCTGTTATTTTTTCATATTTACATTTCTGTCCCATAGACATATTTTGGTGTTGATGCCAGTGGCATCCGAGACCCACTTAAGCGCCAGGCCCTGATAACAATGATTAAAACATACGGACAGACGCCCAAGCAGCTGTTCCGTACACCACACAAGGCAGTGCAGCCTCAGGCCACCACTCCTCAGCATGTGGGCATGGATTATAGACAAGCATATGTGGTAGGTATAAAATAGGGTGATAGTCAATGTTTGATAAATATTTTACTGGAGTTTAGAAAATTTTAATAAGTGAATATTTTATATGATGACAGACAATTATGTGTGTTAAAAAATTAAAATACATTAAAAAGTCATGTTTTATAAATTGTGGGTGGAGATTCATCACTTTCAGCTTTGTAGCTAATGGGTAAGTTTGGTGAGTTAAAAAACGAATGCAGACAAAACATTTTAAAACATATATTTGTTCATTTAATAGGACAGTTGATGATTGCATTAAGCATTGTCTTCTTTCTAAAGCCCCCACCTGTACCAAGTGTGAAAGGCCTGAAGTGGGGCAACTACTTGGGCTCTCTTGATTTGGGCCCCCCAATGTCAAGGGATCTTGTAAATGTTGCACCAAAAGTGATTACAAAACTGGTGGCTCTGCCTTTTGGTCCAGTGTTTGGTGTGGAAAGAAATGCCAACATTCTATTACTTCATGGCAAGAAAAGAGGTATTTTTACTACATCAACTCAGTAACTTTATGGGATATGTATCTGTTCTTGCTAAATTCTAAATGGTTATCTGGTTAAGTAAAGAATGTATAATTATTAAAAGAGTAAAACATTCAAAGGAAATACGTTCATGCAGGAGCATCTTTATAAACAGTTTTCTGCTCTGCTTTTTTTCAACTGAAACCTTCTTTACAAAAAATTAAAGTACGATAAGACATTTATTAAATATTTAAAACTTAAAATAAAATAAAAATTGCTCTAAACATTTAGGGTCTTTATCAACTAATAATTATTGTTGAAGTTAAAGAAGTTTTTAAGGAGGCTTGATGGCTATACTTTTTACAACTTTAATAAGAAATAAATTATTTCAAGTTTAATTATTAAATTTAATGTAATATTCCCCTTTAATTAGCACATTTTATCCATATAATGTATGGTATTTCTAATCCTAATAGATAAATGTATATTCTTAGAGCAAGGTGTTATTAATAGTGATAATTACTAACTAAGTGACTCAAATACTCTACCAGATATGGCAGTGAAGACAGCTGATGTTATGTGGGCTGGTGTTGTAACATGGGACTACCATGATAACATCATTCGTATACGCAGCTCCAATGATAAACCTCTCATTAACTTTATGCCACACAAGTCATTTGGAAAGGTGGGTCACTTGTTTAGTCCACCCTTACATTTCAACAATAAAACAACCACATCCATTAGAAGAATTTATAAATAAATTTAATTTGGAATGAGCTTTTTTTCTAATATACAAAGACAATATGACATTTCTTTTACATGGTATTTCAAATGTAGCATGGATGATACTTAAAGTTAGCAGGGTTTGGGAAGAGGTTATTCTTTTTATAACCCATAATGAATATATAATGTTTATATGGATATTTGCCCATCAAGCCTAATGTACATTTAGGTAACGTGTGTGGAGTCAGTGCCTGACTGTCGCTTGTTGTTTACCGCTGGTAGTGCTGGAGTCATCAATGTCTTCTCAATGACACATAATTCTTCCAAGGTAAGCCACAGACAGCTTAAAAATATATTACTTTATCAGCTGATGTTTCATTTAATTTTACATATCTTCTCCATTAAGTGTGGTTTTACAACTAAACAGAAATAGTTATAGCCCTAAATGTGAGATGCAATCCCATAACTCCCAGTTTGCAAGACTGATCAGTTTTTACTCAATAAAATTAACAAATCTTATTTACATAATGCATGCCAACTCCTGAAGTCAAAAACCTCCACAAAAATATAGGAAACCTGTATAAAAATGTGTGAAATAGATTACTAATATTCTTATTTTTTTGTCTTTTATTTTGTCTTTACCTTGGCCTTTTATGAAACTACCAATGACCCTTAAGTATCTATTTTATCTCATTTGCTATTTTTGACCATAACTGATTGATAAGGACAAAAATTCACTTTGAACAGACCCATAGGTTTTTTAGTTAAGTTTCAATATGTTCATTCAACACTGTCCCAAAAGTAAGTTCTAATAACTAAGGAAAACAACATAGCCTACCAAATCATGTTCTTGTCAAACAAATCAGAAAAACCAAAACTAGCAATCATTCATCCAAAAATCACTTTATGAACTAACTTTGATATACCACTTCCAGCCAAGCAGTCTACAGTTAAGAGGAGCCAAGAAAACTCTGTATGGCCACTCAGCTCCCATTACCTGCTTGTTTGTTAGTCAGGCTTTCAGTGTTCTGGTCAGTGGTAGCATGGATGGAACTTGCATCATCTGGGACTTGAACAGATTGAATTATGTCAGGTCCATCAACAGCCACAGTGCAGAGATCACTGCTCTCACTGTCAGTGATACATTAGGTGACATAGCCAGTGTTAGCTGGACAAGTGAGTTGACTTTATCTTAACCTTACATTAGATGACATAGCCAGTGTTAGCTGGACAAGTGAGTTGACTTTATGTTGACCCTTGACCACTTTTTCCCCTGACTATGGTAAAATAAAATGTAAAAAATGAAGGACCACATACCTTGTTCTACTATTTCATAAAATAAAATACGACTGAAGTTAGCAACCCCCGAAGAAAAATGATCATGTGAGAGTTCAGTTGTTTAGAAAGCCAGCTATTCTAGGTGGTCAGCCATCGTGAAATCCATTCCATTGCCACATTGAATTAAACAATTAAAAAATCAATGTTTATGGGGAAAATTATAGAAAACTGAGTGATACAAAGGAAATTATACATTTTTAAAAACTTTGAAAAATAAAAATTAAAGTTATTGAGAGAAAATTAGATAAAATATGTCTTCACTATTTCTAGGTAAAGAATCTTGTAGCCTCCAGCTTCACACAATAAATGCAGCCCATGTAGCGACTCAGGAAGTCTCTGATATCATCCACTGTCTGGCCTACTCCAGTGCTCCAGAAGGTAGATCAGTCAATGTGGTGGCTGGTGGGATGGAGACTGGCAGCATCAGGTGGGTGCTACTCATGACTCTTTAGGATAGAACTTCTATTTTATTTTGTAATGATTCTTATGAATCTGAACTATTGTTACATTAGATAATTTGTGGCTTACATTTGGAAGATTCTTAAATTAAGTTGCTGCACGTATGATAGTTTGTAGCTGCATGTCAGTTAAACGTATTTACTTCTAAAGACTGTGATAATTCATTTTCAACTAAATCTATTTTGTACAAATTAAATATCAGTGTCATGAATAAATTTTGCTTTTCTGTTGTCATGCTTTGGTTCATAAAATTTTTTTTTTGAAACTTGTATTAGTATTTAAGTTTATATTTTTTCTTCTATGTTCCTGGCAATAATCGGGTTAAATGGGGTACATTATTAACTAAGTAGGCTAGAGTTTATTATAGTCTCACAAGTTCTTCTCCTTTTTCAGATTGTGGAGTAGCTGGGACCTGTCACCACTAAGAGATCTTACAAAGGATAGTTCAAACTTGGCACCTATCATCAGGTACATGGCAAGATTTTATTGATATTACTACCATCGGTCTTTGCTGGCAATTTTTTTAATTTTATGCATAAAGATATAACATGGCTGGGATAACTCAATCCATATTGATAGCATTGTAAAGCGGAGCTTGCCTCTTGGTCCTAGAGTTTTACTTAAAAATTTGTACTCACCATGAAATATAAAACTGTTATGTTTTTATTCAAAATAATAAATTAATAACATAGCAAGTTGTCAAGCAGTTTCCCCATCCTCGTCTTGGCGTCACACAGTACACTCTAACACTTCACACAACTGGTCATGCACAAGGGTAGCCCCAGCTGTCTATTTGTAGGGTGTAGTCAACTTTAACAAAAAACATTGATATTAATTTACACAGACATTAATACTCATGACTTAATTTAACAAGTTGGACATGACGTTATTTGATTCTTTTACACCTGAATAACATTTCAGAGTATCGTCATCTCATGTTGATGATTTCATGATTAAATACTTTTATCCTGCATAATCACAAAGAAAACTTACTAATCAAAAAATTCTTGCCTCAGCTGTAAAATGGAAACTGCATAGACATTTTGCAATAAGATTTTTATTAGGTTTATTTTTTTTTTAAATTCAACTAACATTACTCAATTTGTTTATTATTTTTAGTTCATATTTTTAATTTAAAAAATCCCTTAAAAGTTTGAAATAATTCTTAAAACTGATTTTCCCTAAGTTTGACCTTCTCTGTGGACTCGCAATACCTTCTGGCATCTGCTGCTGATGGAGTTGTCACACTATGGGATAAGGATGTGAAATCATTGCGGGAACATGCAGAAAAGTTTATCCCTGTGATTATGGATGGTGAAAAGTGATACAAAGAAAGATGGTAAACCAGAAAGGTTTTCCTGGCAATGGATGTGATTTCCACAACTCATGTCAAAGTAGTTCAAGACACCTGGCTTGTGTCCACAAAATTCTAGTGGATCAGACATGCAGGTTACTTTTGTAAATTAATTAAAACTGTTTTGTTAGCTACATTTACTAAACTTCAAAACAAAATGTTGTATAAAAGTTTTACTTGAGACTGAGTAAGTTGTCACAGCTCAACTGTCAGTATTATTTCTTCTTGGCATAATTCAATGATTCCTTTGTCCTACCTCATTATAACCCAAACCTACCAACAAAATTCTTACCTTTTCATTTATTTATATTTGTATTCACCTCTTAGAATTTATTTTTATTGACTTATGGATTAAAAATATTTTTATTTAAAAAAAACATGGGCAGAATCTCAATAATTTGTTCTTACAAGGTTACATGATTTCCCCAATAAAGTTTTCTGATACATAAATACTTAACTCTTGATTGTAAAACTATTTGAGCATCACAGCACTTTAACAAAGAACATAACTGGTAAGAAAGATAAAACAGTCCAGAAATATTTTCATTGCATGTATATTATTTTTAAAATGAATATTGTTTGTAGCCCCTGGATTTTTTTGATTTTTTCATATGATTATTTATTTTCTTTACATATTGCTCTTTTTCAAACAGAATTCAGATTCAAAATATTTACTACACAGTATCAGTTCAAGCTGTTTCAAATTGAAAAGTTTTATAAAACAAAAAAAGAAGATATCCAGATATTTACATATTGATAAAATCATATGTTTTCTTCCATTGTTCTTTTGTGCAAGTTATGTATTATTTACTTTGAAAAAAGTTTTATTTACTTCAAAACAAATATTTACAATGAGATTAGCTTCATATAAGCAGAGAAAAAATCTCAAAATATTTTCATATAACTAAGGAAATTTTAAATTTTTTGCCACTTTGCATTGTTGCTTGTCCTTTATTGTGTGTTTGGAATGATATTACATTTGTAGGTTTGTCCAAGTAAAGCATTTGCCAAAACTAGCTGTACTCAAATTCCTGCATCTTGAATGACTACTTGTGTCTGTCATCTGTGCATGGCTCCAGCTGCCATGTGACCATAGAAGTGAAAACAATTAAAAGTTGGGCAGTTGTTATTGGCTATGTATTCATAGTTGAGCAATATTTTTGCTAATTAGTTGCTAATACGTTAGTAGTGACAGTGTTTGTAAAAATGTGCAAAAACAATTAAGATTTAAAAATAAAAAAAAAATCAGCACCAAGTAACACAATTCTGGAAAGATACTCTGTCAACAGAAGGGGAAATTTGATTGACTTGTAAGTTAATGTGACTTTCCTCAGAGAATCATGCATTCCTATAAGAACTGGATCCCTGTGAACCATAGCCAGAACTTTCCACAATACATCATCCTGGCTCAAAGATCTGGTTCTGTCAATTCGTTGTCTAACCTGTATATGGTATGAAAAATGCCTATTTTCTTAAACTATCTTGAAAGTATGTATGGAGAAGTTCAGTTTAAAAGATGTTCCTCATAGATTTTGTAGGGCCAAGGCAGCACCTTCTGTATAAATGGACATTAAAGGACCCATTTCCAACAGCACTGCCCTAAACAACTTCCTTGACACCCTAGAGAACATGTGGGAGCTGGAGCTATGCACTTTTGACAAACGCACATACCAGATCAAGATCCAGGAGTTTCAGTACTGTTTCTTTTTGCGCATACTGTATATAGAAGAAATATACAAAATTCTATTTGGAAAATGAATTTTAAAAAAAGAAAGCTTACTTTTTTCTATTTACTTACATTTTCATTCTTTTGTGACACTCCATGTTGTCATTCTGTTGCCCCAAGACCTGTTGTCATTCTGGTGTCCCATGCCTTGTTGTTATTCTGGTGGGCCCCCTCCATCTATCACTTTATGTTCCCCCTGTAGATGTTGCTTTGTATTGGCTTTTATAAAAGTTTTTCTTATGACGCTGGTATTGTTAATGTAGACATCAGAGATTTGAGATTTGTAAAAAGAATTTTTATTAAGTAATCAAAAACAGTTCTATTTTAATACAAATGTTAAGATAAAGTTGAATGTTGTTCTTCTTTAAAGAAGAAAAAATTTGATATTCAATTTCTAAAACCAATTAATCTGATTTCTTATTTATTTATTCTTTTACATCCCTTTTCCCTAGCATCATTTTGTACCAACCTGACCTATGTATGAGCTAACTTATATTTTTAGCTTTTTTCTAGATATTTGTTGTGTACATAATGGTAAAATATTGGTGCTGAAATAGTTGTTGAATATAACTATATTATAGAGTTGTTCACTTTTCTTGTATTGTTCATTATTTAAAAAGAGTCATTGAATTTTACTAACATTTCATTGTTGAGACTTTGTTTCAAATTTTGTATTATCTGATTTTGTTATAATGTTGAATTGAATGGTAGCTAAGAGGTTATTTTAAATAGTTTTCTTTATTCTATAGGACATTTTGAATTACATTATTTCTGTTAATTCCTTACTAACCAATGTTTGTGCGAGTCTTTTTTTACAAATTTGGAGATCAGTACAGACTAATGCATAGGATGTAGTTACAGTTAGCCTCACACATTCCACCCAGCTGTTGACCACATTCACAATCAGATATTCCCTATCAAACATTCAAATTAAGTCTCTTAAATCTGAGTCACTTCAATAATATTTTTTCTCTGATTATTTGTATTACTGATTAGTCCTGTTACTTAAAGAGAAATGGTTGCAATTACATCACCAACCATGACTTGTAGATGTGAAACAATGAGGTGTATAATTGAAATAATGTTTAGTAGAGAAGACTGTTGATAAATCTGGTTTATCCATTTCTTTATACTATAGGAGAATATAGTACAATTATATTGCTCTTCTTGCAATAACTAATGTGGTACTGTCTTGTAGTTACCTGGTTTTAGTCAAATCAGTTTTTAACATATAAAAATGTCATTTTCTGAACTTAGTTTTCTTGAAAAGGAGAATCATCACCTGAATAGACATTATGATTTCTTGGGATGGTATGTTGAATTTCTTGTTATATTACTGAGGTGAGACCTTACAAACTTTCGAAATGCTTAATTTTTTTGTTAATGTGAATAACAAATATAATAATATAGTTTTTCACTTAGATTAGCCAAAAAATGAACTGAAATCAACTTTTGAAATATTATGAAATCTCCCTTGAGCAGTGAACAAGTGAAAACATTTTAGTTTAAATTTAGCAAAGGAAACTGGATTTGATTTATCTGATTGTTCTAGTCTAACTTAGTTATTAGTTCTCTCTGTACATTTCAAAGCTTTGTAACAAGTTTTGGAAACATTGATTTAGGCCTGTACATGTTCTCAAGTTGCAGTTGTTTTATGCAGGAACACACATCTATGGGTGGCTCTTTAAATTAACATCATGTGATAGAGTATCTGTTTTAATATTTTTTGTGTAAATACTATTCAACTGCTTCTATTTCTGGTTGGTGGTTGGCTACAGAGCTGACATTTGGTACACAGTTTATTCTAATTTTGGCAAATCTTTGATTTTTTTAAAAATTACATTATTTCTGTTAATTTCTTACTAGCCAATGTTTGTGTGATTGTTTATTTACAAATTTGGAGATCAGTACAGACCAACACGTAGGATGTAGGTACAGTTACAGCTTTTTTAGATAAGTTGATAGGTCATAGGACTCATGAGGTGGATGTAGTTTTTAAAAAGATAAAGTTTTTTTTAAAGAGAGAATGGTAGCAAATTAATTTTGTTTATGGACATTGTTGCTTCATGCTTTATTGAATGCTGGTGAGGGCATCTCTATCAATGCAGAAATGTTTGTGTCTTAGTGGGATACCCACTTTAAGAGCCCATGCTTTGACTACACCTTACTTTTGTTTCAAATTATTGTGATATTTTTTATATAGCTCATGTAAAAACTGCTCATAAGAAAACATTCACAAATTTACCTCAATTAATTGTCACATCTAAGCTGATTGGAACACAAATACCCAAACTTACACATCACTTTATTTTGTGTAGGGTCAACCATGAAAAAAAAATAGTTGAAATTATGTGTATTGATTACATTAAGAGCCAGCAGTCTTGGGAAAGGGCTGTAATAATAAGAGCATTTCTATGTCATGTTTGTTTCACTCTATTGAATATTTTCTATCGTCCTCTTTTATTATTCAGTTAAAATCCAAATTGTAAAGGAACAATACCATACCTTATTATTTCACTCTTTTCCTGTTTTCCTTATCAAAAAGAATAATATTAAAAAGTTTATAAAACAATAGTTTCATCTATTGATTACTATTATTATTTGAACATTTACTGTAAATATATATATGAATTTACACACATATCTTTAAAATCAGCAAATATAAATTGCCTGGTCAAATCAATTACATATGATTTTTTTTAAAGTGTTTTTTTCTCTAAAATTTGCAATTGCATAATTGGCATTAAAAATTATCCTAGAATGTAATAAAAATGTGCTGATGTTATCAGTTATGATCCGTGTCTTGTACATGATGGTTTAAATGCAGTTTGACAGCTTTCTTATCTATCTTACCATTATGGCTGAACCCTGAAATATGTGCCTTTCCCATTATCTTCTTAGTTCACAGAAGGTTGATTGGCAATACTTTTTAAAATACTCATTTGATATTTGAAAAATAATAAGTGAGCAGCTCACCTTTGGGCTACCGTTGTCCCTAGAATCAGTATTTAAGGAACTATTCAGCCCAAAATTGATCTAGTATTGTGTCAGATTATTATATTTGAGAGACTTGAGCAATATTATTATACAGAATTTTAGTTGATGATTTAGTCACGCCCCCATGGATCATTCATTGTGACCATATCTATTGTGATTTTTAAAATGTTTGTTCAGAGATTGCTTTACAACTTGTATAAATTATTAAGTTAATGTCTACACATTTTGTTATAAGTATTATCTCTTTATTTTAATATCGAAATAGTGAATGTACAGAAGATTATCATTGTTTGACTATCAAAAAGAAATAAAAAGATAAACAATTTAGAAATAATATTATTTTGTTTAATAATTTCCTCATTAAAATAATTTAAACTGTATTAGAGTAGCTGGGGTTTTATAAAAACACATTCAAATCTTGGACGTCATGAATAGAGATATTATATCAAACGTTTATGTTTTTAAATATTTATTTTGTTTATTTCAATGAACATACCTGTATAAGACCAAATAATCTTGTTTGGAATCAGAGATTATTGTTGGCATTTGTTGAGAACATGTTACAGATGAGGAAGCTGTGATAGGCACATTAGTCAAGTGATTGTTAGCCACCAACTACTGCAGTAATTATCTTCTAGTCTAGACATCTATCAGTAGCACTGTACATTATGCTGTGTTAGATGACTGTTATTTTCATGATGTTGTTCTTATGCTTTGATATAAGAAATATAAAATATTAAATATTTTACTATTATATTTCATTAGGTTTTTGTTCAATTTCTAGACATAAGCAATTGAATACTATGAGGATGTTTGTGTAAAATGTGTTTGATAGAAATTATGTCTTTTTCTGAGAAATTAACATTTTAAAAATATAAGGATTTCAGCAAGATAAATGATGAATGAGGATAGTTAAAAAACACAAAACTTGTGATTGATATTGACGGGTAACCATTGATCTATAAGGATAATTATTGATAAGTACATAAATATATATATACATATATAGTTTATCAGTCGAAATTAACCTTGACCACCTTAATCAACAGTAGATTTGTTAATTATGACTTGGCTGTGGGTACGCAGATGGCTTATGAGACAGATTCTGGCACGAAATGTCCTTTGGCCGTAAGGGCGGGGAATTTTATGGGACATCTCCAGGTGAAGAGTTAACCTGGGCCTTTCTGGCATCTATTTTGTGCTCTGCAGCCGCCGTTCTTTTGGCTTCATATTATATATAGCCTTTGTGTAAGAGAAGCGCCACGATGCCCGATCTCTTTTCGATTCTTCCCGTGCGTCCACGTTTATATCCAACGTTTTCAATCAGGCTTTTGGGTTGTCTTTAAACACGTCTCGACAGCCCTTCCCCATGATGATAACATAGGGGGTGAGATGCCAATGTTTTGAGCGAGGGTGCATCCAGGACGTCCGATTACACGTTGGAAGGCGAAATACCGTATTAGTAATCTGAAGTTTGTGCACTGGTTATGTCTGGAGTAAAAGAACACTGTTGCAATGACCCACTCCATACTTTTCTAGAACCCCGCCCCAAACGATGTGCCCGCGGCCCCCTCGAGCATTGAAGTCACCAAGAATTATAAGCTTGACCTGCCTTGGAACGCCAGCTCTGACAGAGTGGAGATCCTCGTCGACCTTGGTCTTTATTTCATCCGGGTTTGTCATTGTTAGAGCATAGCAGCTGATGACGGTGAGACGTTTTTTTGTTCCAGACAAGAGAGGGGCTTTCATTGTCATTATCCTGCCTTTGACTCCTTCCGGAAGACCAGCAAGCTTGTTAATCATTGTAGATTTGATAGCAAAACCAACACTAGCCCCACGATGCTCCTCGCTCCCTCTGCCACTCCTAAAAAACGGATATCCAGAGTTCCTTTTACATAGTTCCTTCGCTCTTGCGGTCGGGTCTATCTAAGTGCTGCAATAGTCACCCTGTGTATGGGTAAATTATTTCCTAAAAGGTCTATCACCTCTGAGGTCTGTCCGCATCGTGTCTATCCTGAACAGCGCGCACATTCCAAGTACCCATTTGGAGAGGGATTGATTTTTATCTTTTGCATTGATTTCTTTGAATTTCGATCGCATAGATAGTATCGCCTCCCACTGCGGTGGGCTGGATACGGAAGAGTGGAGCAATATTTAGGGAATCTTTTCTAGCCCCTTCCGCACGCCATGGAGTTGAGGATTATTTTCCTAAAGAGGTCTGCTCAGTAACCCAGGGGGGCTGCCGGAACCATTGTCGCTCATTTGAACGGGATGAACGACCCAATAGCCTTAGCCGTCTATGTAAGATTTATGATCAAGGCTTGTACCCATACCTCCCAGTGCACCCATACCTCCCAGTGCACCCATACCT